ACAAGTATTATATATTAATTAATGTTTTATTTTCTGTTATTTATTTATTTATATATATAATATTTTTCTCAATATTGTAACTCAAATAAGGCATCATTAATATGAATTTTTAATACTTTTTATTGTGAAAATGTTGTCTATTATTAAAGTAGGTACTGTAAACGCATTAACCATACAAAGTGTCAATTTTGCTATATAACGTTATATAATTATGTTATAATAATAATATAAATAATTTTTGTGAAACAAACATTTTATTCAAAAAAAAAAATACAAAAACAATTTTTTGTATACAATGAATGCAATCATGATTTGTAAGCATTTATTAAACCTGTTATTGACAGTTATATTGGGATTCACTTCGATCTCTCGTAAGTCTTATTTGAATCATTAATTGTAATATAAATAAATTAATCAAACGTTTATATATCGCATTATGCAATACTTGATAATGTGCTGCAATTACAACATTTGACAATTATTTCTTATAATATGATACTTTGTATTAGTTTAAGAGATGTTCTTAAATTTTTAATAAAAATTAAATTAAAACTATTTCTTATATAAGTCAAAGTCTAAGTAATGGGTATTGGAAAGGCAGGTAGAGTTCAGGGGTGTAATTGGGAAAATAAGTATTACCATTTATAACTTATAATAAATACATTTTGACTAATTTATGTTAGTTTAGATCAATAATTAACTTATTCTTATCAAGAACTACAAAAATAAATTAAGATTATAATGACCTAGATGAGTTATAAATTTAATCTTACTATGACTAATAACTTTATCAATAATTATTCTGACGAAAGAATTTATTGCGAAAAATATATTGAATTAATCATCAAATTATCAATTTGTTTGAATTATTTTGAAAATACTGAAGTGATGTCAACAACTTTATTAATGCTATAGAATTTAATTTAATATTCAAATTTTCAGATCAAACCCAAAGTATTGATCAATTAAAATACTATGAAATCATTGAAACAAATGATATAAAACACAATAAAATAACAAAAAGAAGTGTCGAATTCAAAGACAAATTAGTCGATCATTTAGTGATATTTCGTGCCATTAATAGAGACTTTAGTTTATTATTATTGCATAATAAGGATATATTAAGTGCTAATAAATTGAATGCCTTTTCCGTGGACTCGAAGGGTCGCAAAGAACCCATTTTTGTTCATTTCCACGAATTCTATTCGGGAAGAGTTGATGGGATTGAGGGCTCGGATGTGAGGGCACACATCGCACCCAATGGTGTGATGACGGCCTCAATACAGACGGGGGACGAGACCTATGAAGTGGAACCCATTTGGAGACATTTGGATTGGGAAGAGTTGATGGGATTGAGGGCTCGGATGTGAGGGCACACATCGCACCCAATGGTGTGATGACGGCCTCAATACAGACGGGGGACGAGACCTATGAAGTGGAACCCATTTGGAGACATTTGGATAGCCATCACAATAAGGACTCTATGATTGTATACAAGAAATCAGACGTAAAACATTCCTCCACTTCGACGATATTCCGAGACTTCATCAAAATTGGTGACAATATAACTGAAGAAAGGGTTCGAAGAAAAAGAGAATATTTTTTGGACGAAATAACTACTTCTTCAAAGACTAACGAAGAGACATTCAACCCGACCGGAACTCATTGCGCTATTGTCTTAGTGGCCGACCACTACTTCTTTGAGTCGATGGGAGACTCGAATCAGAAGAAAACAATTAATTATATGATTCATATCATCGATAGAGTGAACAATATTTACATCAACACTGAGTGGAAGGACGACGAGAAGAAAGTCGGGTTTAAGGGAATGGGATTCTTCATCAAAGAGATTCAAATCTATACGGAACCCACTCCTGAGAGGGATCACTATAACTCACGAAACCTAATCAAAACTGCGGCAGAATTACTCGAAATCTTTTCGCTGCACAGAGAGCACCAGTACTTCTGTTTGGCGCACCTCTTCACTCACCGACCATTCTCTGAGTTGGGATCGGGATATACAGCCTCTACACGTTTTGGTCCAACAGGAGGTATATGTAGCCCCAGTTATATCTGTACAAAAGGCAGACACACCGGCAAAAGAATATTTCCCAACACAGGAATCACGACAACGAAAAACTTTGTCGGAAAAACTATTACTACGAGAACAGCCGTATTAGTGACGGCCCATGAATTGGGACATAATTGGGGCGCAGATCATGACCCCGACACTGAAGAGTGCTCACCTAATTCAAGGAATGGTGGCTTTTATATAATGCATATGTATGATGTCACTGGTTATGAGACAAATAATAAGGTATTTATTAATATAATTAAATTATAAAGTGATCGCAAGTGCTTCACTGAATGTCATTTCGTATTCCAGTTTTTCTCGCCGTGTAGTAAGCGCTCAATTCGTGCCGTTTTGAAGGAAAAATCCAAACGATGTTTCTCCAGTAAGTCTTATTATGTGAAATATATGTCAGTTTTAGAATTTAATTCAAGTAACGATATCTTTTAGTACCGGAAAAGTCTTATTGTGGTAATAGTAAAGTGGAAGTGGGCGAAGAGTGTGATGAAGGCTTACTGGTTAAGGGAGATGACTATAAACACGGTCTCTGTTGTGACAGCAAATGTAAACTAATATCCGGCGCTGACTGTAGTGACAAGAATTCGGACTGTTGTGCGTCCTGTAGGATAAGACGGGCCGGAGTTGTCTGCAAACATGAGGATGAACTCAATTGCAAAGAAAAATCCTATTGTGATGGACAATCCGAGTTTGTGACACCTCTTTCATTGTATTTGCATTTCAGGCTAAGAATTTATATTTGATTTATTGCAGTAAATGCCCGGAACCGACACCTCTGGCCGATGAAACTACGTGTATGGATAGGGGTCAGTGCAGAGCCGGCAAATGTATCACATATTGTGCGGCCATCGGACAGATACCGTGTCTGTGCGAAGATCCCGAGAATGCGTGCAATCGCTGCTGTCGATCCAATAGCACATACAGCACCTGTAGTCCAGTCCAACCCAAAGATCCACTACTTAACTCCACGCCCTGTAAATATGGATTGTGTCAAAATAATAAATGTGTGGTAATGCGTGCAATCGCTGCTGTCGATCCAATAGCACATACAGCACCTGTAGTCCAGTCCAACCCAAAGATCCACTACTTAACTCCACGCCCTGTAAATATGGATTGTGTCAAAATAATAAATGTGTGGCATTTAAAAGACCTCTGGATGTTGTCCAACGACTTTGGGATGTCATCGAAAAGACAAATATAAATTCATTTGGTATGTGTTTTGAGAGAATATTATAATTAACTTATTGGTAAATAATTAATTACATTTCCTTTTACAGTGCGATTCATGAAAAACAATATCGTTGGCGCTGTTATTATCGTAACCCTTCCCATATGGATATACGTCTCCTGTGCTATCAGTCATTACGATAAGAAATACGCCGAAGAGATAAAGAGGAGACGAGAAAACAGGACTCGTTTTAATGAAAATCTTTGGAGATTTTATGCTAGACTTGAAGAATATCCTTAGTGGACATCAATAGACTCGATGGTCAGTCATTATGTTTCCTTTTGGTGATATTAATTGTGATTTATCATTCCTAAAGTAATAATAGATTATACAAAAACTTATTTTAACTTTAACATCAAACTTTATTTATAACTTATTTTTATAATTTTGTATATATTTATATAACTTAACAAGTATTTATTGTATTTATGTAATTTAATAAGATATTATTGCAAACTGAATTCCTTATTTATTGTCACAGTATTATATTGATATGATTTAATGCTGTATTATTATTTAATATTATTTAGTTGTAATTTGTTAGTCAATTAGAAATAAAGTCACATATTATGGGCTAAAATGTCATTCTCTATTTACATTAATTTTAAAGTTTTCATTTAAATTCAATGAATATTATTTATTTGATTTATTATTCAGATCTCAATTTTATTACTTTTAATACTGTATCATCAATATTTAAATTTATGTAAATTCAATGCGTTTAATAAATGACTTATAAACTATATGATATTATTTTCATAAATAAATTATAATATAAATAAACTTTGCTTCAGTATAGTAGTTTGTTTGAAATATGATATGTATTACAAGTTACCGGTCAGTATGATTATTAAACTTTTTTATTAGTATTACTTTACTTATTTTAAAAAAAAGTTGCAAAATATTGATAACTAATTACATTTAAATAATTTTTATAATTTTATTCAAATGAGACAAATGTTGTGATAATAGAATAGTTTGTCCTTATTTTTGTTTGTTTTTACTCTTTTAGAGAGAATTGATGTTTGATTTTCTTATAATTTATATAACTTGTGAAAAGTTCATATTTAAAAAATAATAAATAAGGGATTTTGATTTGAATACAGATTTTACTTTTATTTGAACTGTCGATCAATTTTTTGTAATGCATTTTTAATCAACGTTTTGTCAAATGAAATAAATTTCATTTATTCAACTTTAAAACTATGTTTATTGTACGTTTTATTGAATGTATATTCAAATTACTAGAGTAGTATCCAGTTGTGCAATTAAATTTAATAATTTTAATGCATATTCAATACATTTGAGATTATATTATAACAATAAACTTCTGAACTGGGTTATGATACAATGATAAAATATTTTGATGTACTGTATTAAGTCAAATAATATAACAATCACTGACTATCAATTTGAAAAATATCATCCATTAAGTTATTATATTCATCTGTGTATAAAAACAATAAAAATAAGTTTAATTTTCAAAATAAAAATTATTTAAAAGAATTTGGAAATTATCAAAATCTTGATTTTATTTCTAATTAATTATAATGTATTTAGAGATAAAAAGTTTTATTGATATGAAAATTATTAGATAAATCTCATACAAACCTATTGAATGAATTATTTGTATGCCTTTTGAATTCATTGAACTTTTGATAAATATCTGGAGGCTATGCTATGATTTACTAACGATTGCCATAAAAGTGATCACTTTTTCCCTCTGATTAGGCGTGCGTTTAAATATTTTCAAATTCATACCATTTAATGAATAACTATGATTTAAATTACAAAAATAATAACAAAGTTCTAAATATTTACAAAAACAAAAAGGGGTAACAAAAACCTCTAAAATGAAATTTAAATAAAATGAAATTTTCATTTGAAAAATCTTCTTGAATAACTTATAAGTCTTTTATTTTATTACACCGTATTATCCTTGTATTATGATCCTAACTAATGATATTAGGGAAAATATAGGTGAATGATTAGTTTAGTATTAAAAATTTGATAATGAGTTCACTTTTAATTCATTATGTTAAGTGTTTGTTATGAAGTAAGTTGTAAAATTATTAGCATTTTGTCAATTCATTTTTTGTCTCGGATTTTTAATTAACAATTATTTTAGAGCAATAAAAACTTGTATTATTATTGTGTGATTTTGAATAACATTAACAAAATTGCAATTAAATATAAAATGAATATTTGGATTGGCTTTTACTATATGATAGACAGTATATAATATTTCAATCAAAATGAAGTGTTTATAACAAACGATATATAATTTTGAAATGTAATTGTGTGTGATTTAGATGAACTCGTTTCTCATTCATATGACTATTAGTGAAAGTAATTAAATAATAGAAATATGTAATTTAAAATTTATTTTTAACACCAATCGCTTATGAGTTTTTATAACCAACTAATTTAGTCTTCAACTGTACTGTCTATGTGTGAAGTATTAATATGTAATTAATATTTACTTCAAGTATTTCCTGTCAATTATCTGTCGATACATTGAGTGAACATTGAGGTGAGCTTTGATAGGAAACAATTGATTAAAGTTATCCATATTTACTGTCAATAATATGATTTAAGTTATGACTACTTTAAATAATTAGTGACAAAAATATGAAATGCGTCAAAATGACACATTAATTAAATAAATAGTTTAACGCAAACATCATTTGACTTTTTTGTTTCTCTTTATGTGTTAATCCAAACGCTTTATAAAATACTTTCTAAAAGGTTTTAATATGGGCTCAGATATAAGAATTGAGGAAAATTTGAATTAAATGCAAAATTAATACAAAATAAAGCGTTTTCTTTCATACCATAGGGTGTAATACATTATATAATAGCTAGTATTTGGATGGGGTTATGGGAAAATTATGCTCAAAATGCCAAATCCAAGTTCATTACTTCATAGCGTAATATAATAGTAAAGACATTATCTTTTATAGTGAACAGTAGATTGGCTTATGTTTTGCACAGAAAAATCTCTGCCTTTGGTCTGATTTCACAGCAACCTTGGCTTCATTTCTTACAAAACTTGTTATAATAAAGCATTTGTTATTTAAAACAAATGTTACACTCAATCTTGTCCAACAACTTTCACTTTAACACTCATATGCTAAACACACGTTTACTTACGACTAATATATTGGAGAATTTATCAAACTTTTTCCATAACTGTATTGTAAGTTATATAATTGTGTTCATTACTGACAATAAGTTATTTAGACATTGTATTTATGTTTTTCTCGTATGAATTTTCATTTCTAATCAACTTTTCCTTTCATTTCCAAAAACATGAGTTTTATTTTCTGAATAATTATATCATTTTTAGTGACAATTTTGACACAAACCAGAGTTGCAATGCAATTGTGATATCATTTGGAAAATAACTGAATGTGTTTGCAGTGAAAGTGTGTTCAATACGAGAAAGTTTTGGATTATTTTGTTGACTACAAGTGATATACAATAGAAAATAAGATATCATTTCGACTCCAAAATGCCATCAATTGATACAACAAAAGAACTTCAGGAACTGGTGATCAAAGTTCGCGATCTGTTTATCGAAGATTACGACCAAAATAAAGAGCTTTACTTCGAGGGGGACGTCGAGAAGATCAGAGAGGATGACTGGTATGTCACGAGATTTTTGTTGAGGAATAAGCGAAAAGTGGATCAATCGGTGGATATGCTTAAGAACTCGATGCGATGGAGGAAGGAGTTGGAGATACCGTTCCTTAAAGAAACGGATTTCCCGCAAGAATTCTATAGAATGGGCGGAGTATTCCCGTATATGAAGGACAGGGAGGGAAATGCCATGATTTATATGCGGATAAAACTGCACAAAAAGATACCCGAACTGGAGTTGGCTCTCAAACAATACGTGGTGTATATCATGAATAAAGTGGACGTCGAGGTGGACGGCAAAGGCATGGCTATCGTGTTTGACTGCAAGGACGCCGGTGTCGGCAATGTTGATATGGATATGCTTTGGTTCCTGATCTCATCGATGAACAAATACTACCCGAAAGGTCTGTCGTATATATTAGTGTACGAATTACCCTGGATTTTGAACGCCGTCTGGAAGATAGCCAAAGGTTGGATACCCGAAGAGCAGCGAAAACTAATCAAATTTGCAAATAAGACAGAGATTGAGAACTATGTGGACACAGAAAACTTACCCGACTTTCTGGGCGGCACTTGTGATAAGGATTACAGAGTTGTGCCCAAAGGCTGTCCATCAGCTGAAGAATTGGCTACAAGAAGAGGGCTGTCGGCTAAAGAGATCGAAAGAATTGGCAAAATTTTTGAGCCATACTTGAGTGTAGTTCAAAGCAATTAGCTCTACATTCAAGCAATTTAATGATGCTTTGGATTTTAATTTCAAAGTTTTAGTAAACGTTTAAATGTTTTTATTACTCTTTTATATCTAATTATCTTGTTATACGTGTTTATATTATATTCATATTTAAAGCATATTTTTATTAATCAATATAATAGTAAATAAAGTTTTTATTGAAGCAAACTTTCCTTTAGAATTGATAATTAAATTTCAAGAATCGATAGAAATACTTATACAGTATTTCTTATCCCAAAGTAATGCTAATAAGACTTTTGAGGAAACTTTTTGATTTTTTTTTTACAAAAGTGACTAATATTTTAAAATCAAAGTAAAAAAAGTCTTATTAACTATATTTGCTTATATTTCATCTTCATAACTCATTTATGAAGGATTTCACGTTATTTTAAATATAATGCAATTAAACAATAAGCCATAATTGTAATAGTGGTGAATGTGGCCAACGATTAGTTTCTACAATATTTAATTCAATATCTTTTCAACAATTAACGGATAAATCGTAAACCATTTCACTGAATAACGACTCAAATAGATTAATATAATATACATTATCTGATAAAATTTATATACAATATTAAGTTTAGTCGAAATTAATTAAATCTTAAAATTTTGTTGTATTCTATTAATTGGAAATTAGTTTGCAATTTAATTTTGTGGAATTTATTTAATAGTATTTTTAATGTAATTATTTACTTATTATTTGTAATTTTATTCAAATAAATGAGATTTTGTTAAGTACATGTAGTAAAGAATTTGTTAAGAATATTCTAACTTGTAAGTAACAAAATAAAAATAAAAACATTCACACGAATACTTATACAGTAGTAATATAAACTAATAGATTATTTAAAACTTATAAATATTGTAATGAAAGACATTAATATATTCAAGTACAGTATTAGTATTGCATATACAGTAGAAAATAAAGTATCAATTATTAAATAAATTTTATTGGATACTTATTATTAATTTTTGCTATATTATTAAGATTTTGTACATTTGCATAGAAATTATTATCAAAAATATTTGAGGCAATGAAAACATATTCATGAAAAGCGGTGTTTTGCTACTATTCCTATGAACCACTATCTATTGATACACTTGTCCTCCAATTCATTGATATTAAAGTTAGTAAACAATTTGTGGATAAGATTTGTGTAATTATTGCCAATAATTGTTATTAAACTAAAGTAACTTTGCACTCAAATCAGTGCTTAATTTACGGTTAGAAACAGTGATTCAATGGATTCCGTGTTTTATAAATCAACGAAAAGTTTGCTTGAAGTTTGAATCGCTTTTGGAAATCATATAAAATTGTAATTAATTTTAAATATTTTATTCGTATTAATATAATTTAATTTCTATTAAAAAACATAAACTTATCAATTGATTTAAAAGTTTTGATCAGTGATTGGCTTATTAAATACTGTATCACTGATTGAAAAGTTTATCATTTAAAAGTAAATTAGTTGCTCAGAAATGGTAACAATAATTAGCAGGCAATACATGTCTCTCCCTCTATGTCTGCAGTAAATTAAGATAGTATCCAATGAATTGTATGTTCATTGCGTAACACATGGACCCCATTGCACACCAACTGATGCAATGTTGGCCAGGATTGCCAAAAGTGATGCACTATTTGGTGGATAGAGAGAGACGTATTCACTGTCAGTGTGTTGTCTATTGACTCGCATTGCATGCCATTAGTGATAGAGTTATTGATAACAGTTTTGCACACAATGTTTGCATTGAAGTCAACAAATCAATCGATGGTTTCATTTCACAATTAATATGTCATTTAATAGTATTCAGAGTAATAGCAGTAATAATAATGACAAGTATTGTAATACGAGTTAATACTCGATGATTGCATTTTGCATCACAAGTTCACCCATAGTATAGTCATAGAAATGTTTGAATGCATATCACATATAATGATAATTTGAATCCAATTGTTATTTATTTGAAAGCATTTGTCATAACATAAGAGACCAGCGATTGGTGCGAAATGAGTGCCAATGACAGCACCAGTGGTAACAACTCATCGGTGTCTTCGGTGACCAAATCATCGGTGTCTTCGGTGACCAAATGGGTGTCACAACACGTGAAGTACGAGCATATGATGGCCGGTGTGGTCGGCGGCGTTACCTCTACTCTAGTCTTACATCCTTTGGATTTACTTAAAATACGTTTAGCAGGTCTGCCATCACCTCAATGGACACCAATAGCTCATGTCTTATGCGATAATGTGTTTGTGTTTGCAGTAAACGACGGACAGGTGTCGGCGCGCCCTCACTATAGGGGTCTCGTGAACGCCGTGTCGACGATCGTGAGGGAGGAGGGCGTGAAAGGGCTGTACAAAGGGGTGATCCCTAACTGTTGGGGAGCGGGTGCCTCCTGGGGCTTCTACTTCCTCTTTTACAACTCCATTAAGTCCCGTATGACTGGCGACGACCCCAACACCCAATTAGGTCCGGGACGACACCTGTTGGCCGCGGCGATGGCCGGTGTGATCACCACAACCATAACGAACCCCATTTGGGTGGTCAAGACCCAGATGTGCCTCCAGTACAGCAGTGTCTCTGAAATACAAGCCCTCCCGCCCTCCAAACGCTACACAGGAATGGTAGATGTGTTGCGCAGGATATACCACTACGAAGGCATTCCCGGTCTGTACAGGGGTTACGTGCCGGGGATACTCAACGTTAGTCACGGCGCCCTCCAGTTCATGGCTTACGAGGAGCTCAAGAGTTATTACATAAGACGGAAGCAATTGGAGACGAACGCCAAGTTGGACACAATGGCATACCTGACCTGTGCATCGCTCAGCAAACTGTTTGCCGCCACAATCACATACCCCTATCAGTTGCTGAGGGCCCGCCTGCAGGACCAACACACCCAATACAAGGGTCTGCTGGATGTGATCAGAAGGACCTGGAGGTTAGTAGACCTTAGCGGCTATTGTAAAGCACTGGTACCTAATCTAATGAAAGTAACGCCTGCCTGTGCTCTCACTTTTGTGGCTTACGAGCACTCAATCCATTTTTTGCTCACATTTTAGTTTTTCATTCAAAACCATTAATTAATTAATTGATTATTTAAACACTATTTCTAACTAATTCTCAACTATTCCTGAAGAGAGAGAAGGAGGGGATAGGGATAGGGATGAGTGGGAAGGGATTGAATGGGAATGGATTGCACGGGTATTATCTTATTTTTACAAATAATATCCTTTAAAACGAAAAGAATGTAAAGAAGATTATAGTAATGGAAAGAAATTGTAAAACATTCCCAATATGTTTGAAATAACACCAAAACATCAAATATAAGGTCTCAGAAGTCTAATAATTAACTGCCATTTGTGAACATAAAAGAATGTAAAGAAGATTATAGTAATGGAAAGAAATTGTAAAACATTCCCAATATGTTTGAAATAACACCAAAACATCAAATATAAGGTCTCAGAAGTCTAATAATTAACTGCCATTTGTGAACAAAATTTTGACTCCAATTCCTATTTTTGTTGCTTTTATTTTAAACCCTATTTTGCATTTATTTAAATATATGAGAATATTACTAAACCTAACAAATACAGCATTTTGTGTCCCTTTTTTTGCTTTTTGTTTGTTTATTATTTTACATTTAAATGCGCGCATAATATGAGATAAAACCAGTCATATACTGTATTTGACTTATAAATACAACTAAATTACCGAAAAAAGCAGAATATTATTTGGACTTACATTTTAGAGTAGGAATGAGCAAAAAATCAATAGTTTTTTGTTTTGATACCAATAATTTAAAATTAGTTTTTGTTATATTTATATATACATGTACTTATTATGAATACTATGATATATGAATTGAATGAATATGATTGCGATTTGATTGGCACTGAGTTTTCGGTACACTTAAAACTTCGTTACCAGGTATGAGCGGTTGGGCGGCTTTTACAGTGGTTTGGGTGCTTATCTGATCCATGTGACGCCTAATATATGCATCGTCTTCCTTATCTATGAGAAACTCTCGCC